GTGAGACAAAAACAACACAGTTGGGGCTGGGATTGTAGAAGGGGGAAGGAATGGAGCTGTGCATGCCAACCTGTTTGTTTGTTTATTTATTTTATTATTTTATTAGAGTTATACACCGCCCTCCCTGGATGGGCTCAGGGCAGTGTACAACAGTTAAATAACACAATTAAAACAGTATTAAAATAACAATTTACGCATAAAATATCATAAAACAAGGAAACAAGAAAAGGGGGTGCAAGAAAAACCTTATCCCTAATAAAAGTCACCTCCTGAGCTGATCCGTCACTCCACCGCTTTCCTCCTGCTACCAGAAAGCCATCCCGAAGAATTCTCTCTTGCCTGTTTTGCAAAATGACAGGCGCTTGGGGAGGGAGGCTGTGACGTCCTCCTTATTGGGGAGGACTAGTTTCACTTTAAAAGTTCACTTCATTTTTCTTTACTGGGTAGATTCTGCTGCCACCAGGAAATTTTAAGGATTTCCAAACCTTTATGCTTTTACTTTGGCTCTTACTAGTTTGGTAGACCGAGTTTAAGGCTTACGAGGGACTATGTGGTCCTGGGAAGTATTTCATTCATAGCTGGTATAAACTTGAATAAAAGAGGATTTATTGAAATAAATACTAAATAAGAGGGTGATACAATGTAACTAGTAATGTGTAAATGATGCACAATTGCTTTGGTATCACACTCAATCTTATCCCTTACTGACAGGGATCTTTGCATGTAACTTTGTAACACTTGTTTATCTCAATGCCATATATGATCACTGTTTCTCTTCAATTTGTTATGACACTCAGCTTTCAGGTTTCTTTCTCTCTCTCACTGAACAACTGCAGCTGTCCTTCTCTAACTGCTTCAACACAGAACTGTCTACATCAACTGTCCACCTGTAACTGAAACTCTTGACTGACTCACATACTCATCCAACCAGATTCACTTCCAAAACCCCTCCCCCTCCCAGTCAACCACCAATCATACCACACTTGCCTCTCTCAACCACTCTAGTCTATCTACCACAGCCATGCAACCAAACTTTTAAAGAGACACACACACACAGAGACACAAGGAATCATTACAGAGGCCTTCCAAATACCCCAGTGCTGGAGCCCCCGCAGAGGATGTGTGTAAGTGGGCAGTTACTGGTTTTCCCGTTGGTTGGGCAGCACCTGTGTGTCAGGTTATTGGTCCATGTGTCAGGTTCTCTGAATTCCCAGCCTTCTTTTTCTTAAGGAAGTCACTAGCCCTTTTCATTGCAGAGATATAAGTGGGAAAGGCATACCTCTGCAATGAAAAGGGCTAGAGATTTTTAAAAATGAAAGGTGGGAGTTGAGAGAACAGATCATTGTTTTAATGATAATCAGTTGCAGATAGTGGTGGGGAAGGGCTCATGGCTGCCACCAGGGGACTGGGGTGGGGAACCACAGGGAAGCCCGCCCCGTGGAAGCCCTGTCATTAACCAGGAGTCAGCTGGTGCCTCCAAGACTACAAAATCTGTAATTCCAGCGGAAGCTTTTGTCCGTTCAAGCCCCGACTGTGAGAAGCAAAGGTCCATATGGGAGTATTATGTATTGCGTGGCAGAGTTATACCCAGGAAGCATATAAAACATGTAACCAAGTTGATACAGCTCCATCACATCACCCTGGAAAGCACGATGCTCCCTTTCCCGCGACAGAGCACCACAATCGCATTTGGGTCCTGGTAGTTTGCCCCATTCTGTACTTCACGTGACCAGTCAGATCCTGCAGGCCTCCTGTTGGTGTTTACCAGGTTATGGATCTCGGGTGGAAACTGAGGGCATCCCATGTTCACAAACATTCATTCCCTAGGCTAGATCGCAAAGTTGTGATTGCAGGGCTTGTGCCGGCCTTACTGCTGGGGGTCGGGCCTTGAGTCTGGACAGGCCTGTGCCAGCCACGTCTCTATGGATGGGCGACGCTCTGTTTTCTATGGTCTTTCTGTCCCTGGAGAGGCGGAGGAGTGGTGGGGCACAAGGTGGGTAGCCCACAGGTCGGAGTGGGTTTCGTGCATCCGCTGGTGGCTCTCATTGTTGTGTTGAGTTGGGCATCAGGTTTGTGGACACGGAGGGGGGGTGCTGTTGAGCCACATGGAAGCACCACAGGCCGCAGCCCTACACAGGAAACAAGGGCAGCTGTCCTGAAAGGCAGGGGGTCTGGGGTGGGTGGTCCCCATCCAAAGGGCATCAAGAGAAGTCCCCACAAGGGGTTACGCTCAGTCTGGGCCCGCCCTGGAGGGAGGGGCTGGACTGTTCTCGGCTCTGCCTGCAGCGGTCTGGCCATGAAACACCGGTGATCCCGCGGGGAGCTTCTGCCAGGTGAGGCAGTCCGGACATTGGCCAGCCTTGACCATCCTGCCGGTTGACTCTTTGTTGGGTGTTACAAGTTAAAACACTTTCAGTATTTACTGGATTAATGATGTTAAGTCACATGTTTGTTTGTAACCAATCTATTTAGATTATAGGATGCCCGGGAACTTTGGAGCTAGTTTGCTACTCTGATTGGAAACTAAGGTGTCAAGTATTAGCATTTTATGGCTTCTCTTCCGTCTTTGTGTTTTCTTTGTTCTGACTGAGAAGAAGACGCCATGCCATTCCAGTTTTACCTTTTAGCTGTAAGGATGTAGGCGTATAAGCTCTTTGTTATTTTATGTCCTGTGTATCTTTTCCCATGCTAGGTTGTAGTAAACTTTTATATTCTTTTTACACACACCATGGACTCAGTCTCTTTAATGCTCTGCTGATTTACTTTACACAGGAATCCCGCCACTCTCCCAGGTGCCTCCAGGGGGGCTGGTGTTGGCACTTGGGGAGATACCTGGAGATTTGGGGAAGGAGGGTGAAGCCCGGGAAAGGGAGGGATCTCCGTTGGCCCCCTGCTGATGCGGTCACCTTCTGAAGCGGTGCTGGTGCCGCCGGGACTCCGGACCAAGGCTCCCTCTGAGCTGTGGAGTCTTGCGAGCCAAAATTCTGCTTTGTGAACTGCTGGGACTCAAGTCATGAGCCAGCGATTGGGCTGCTGCAGAAATCGGTTTGCTCTGGAGCCGTCCCTTCCCTTCCTGAGCGGAGACAAAAACGTGTGAAAAGACAAGAATAAACACGACCTGGTTCAGAAAGTTATGGGACCAATATGTCCTCGAGAGTATAACTGACAAAACTGGTACTTACATGAAAAATAACTCATCCAAGACGTTCAGTGCAAAGTGGTTTCCAATTCTGTCTTATCTATTGGAGGAAGAATACCTACCTCCATCTTGGAAAGAATACTTGAAATGGTTCTGAAAACCCATATCATAAAACATTGCTGCAACTGGATCAGGGTTTTCAGGTAGCAAGGTCATTTAAAACTTTTTAAGTAGAACATCAAAGAAGACTCTCTACATAATCACTTGTAACAGTTACTCTTGATTGTATAGTATTCTTAAGCTATATACTTGTGTATTAATGTTTTTTAATGTGCAATGTTTCAGTTATTCTCCACTATGCTTAATGCAAATTTACTCAAAAAAACATGTACTTACAAATGACTTACTCTGAAATGTTTATTACAGAAATTGATGTATATGTTAATATTCTGAATATATAATTAAAAATTTTAAATTAAAAAAAACCCAACACGTGTGGGCCGGGGGCTAAAGAACTGTGAGCTGGCTCACCCTGTGACCCAGCGGAGAGGGAGCCCTGCGAGTCCGGACAGCTCCTCCCCTGCGTCTCGAAGGGGCTCCTCCCGGAGGAGTCCCGCTCTCTCCTGCTTCCCCCCCCCCC